GGAGAACCCAGCAAGACTGAGTGCCTTACCTGGTGATTACTTCATCCACTGCCCATGGCTGGAGGTACTTTATCTTTTTTCTCAAGTCCACTTAATCTCTCACAACTGCCCTCAAAATATCTCTAACAAAAATATCCCTCTGCCAGATCACCAGTTTTCCAAGTTATTTCACTAAAAGCACAATGCCTGCAAAGTAGATTCAACAGTATTATAGTTTCTCACACGCAGCCTTTCAGAAGGGGAAAGATATTTTAGAAAGTTGTGCCTCTTATTTCCACTGTTAGAACCAGCTGCTGGGGTACCAGCAAAAGGGGGTGAGATCAAGTCACAGATCCCATCAGCAAGTCTGAGCTGCCTTGATGTGTGCTTGGGAATGTGCACAGTTCTGCACTAGTCAAAGTTCACACATTACCAATTTCACAGAACATAGAATGCCAACAGCTGCAACATTTATTCCCCAAAAAGCTACAAAAAAATATAAAACCCACAAACAACAACATAAATAAAAAGCAGAACAAAATTTATACAATTGCTCAGTAACACAGTTTTCAGTGGGAAGTGCAATTGTAGTATGGAAGTAGTTTAAAATTTATTCTGAAAGCATCTGGGACAACCGGAGGCATGGTAAAAGGGAACAGTAAGAAGGAACCAAGTGAAAAAGTGTGATAAAACCAGCAAGACAAAGTGGAAGAAACTTCCACTGGATGGGAATAGACTAAGGGAGCAGCATTACAATTGTTTCAGAAAACCCAGTATACAATAAAACATCTTCTGAAGGAATGCCTTGGGCTATTCAGCAGCAAATAATAACTACTGCGTAACAGGGCCATATTTAAAAAAAAAATTTAGAAAATTATTTGCATAGCTGTGTGTGGCCAGACCTGCCAACAATCACAAACTCCTCTTTATAATGTTCTGTGTCCCTCTTTATAAATGCTCAATTACAAAGCTAACAATATGCTAAGGGACCATGCGTGCTATACTAGAACTGACAACTTAATACGTTTTCTGAGGGATTTTCTAACAACATGCAACAGGCAGGCCTACCAACAGGAGATTTTTTATTTCTAAATAAAGGAAACATGAAATGCCTATCATTTCATCATCCAAAGTCTTTTATGTCCATAAAGCATAAGACTTAATCATTGGGAAGTTAAATCCTTTAGCATCAAGGGAACAGTGGTTTATTAGGCACAGAGTACTTAGAAAGATACCACCCCAGTAAGAGTCACATATGCTAGGGAACTACCTTAATTTTTTTTGTTAATCTGGCAATCAATCATCAATTAAATTTTCTTTCCTGGGCTAATGAAAAGAGCCTTAGCCTTTCAAATTATTTAAGTATTTTTACACCAAAAAAAAAAAAAAAGGAAAATGTAAAATATTAAGGATTTCTTTTAAATGACAGATTTCTATACTCTGAATTCAAAGTGCTGAATTAACAGATATGAGCCATTATTTTGTTTATCACTTAACAGAGGAAACACTCCCACATTACAGCTATGAAGTTTTTCAACATGATCTGAAGCAGGTTCAATCCTTGCATTCCCTATTATGGTATATTCTGTTTCTCAGACAAAGCCTTTTTCCAATGCAATATGGAAACATCACTAAAGCAGCATTATTGTTTCATTTCCCCCCGCCCCCCCCACCAAAGAGCAATCCTTCTCCATCTCCTATCCTCACTTCAATCCTCAAAGACGACACTGTCTTCTCCCACTTCCCTGGCCAAACCTGAAGTGCTTCTGGTGCTTGGTGCTGTAAAACACTATTATTTAAACAGAAGAACTAGAACACACAATAACTTCCCTCTTCCTTCTCCCCACAAATAGATGACAAAATCTTGGGGAGGGAAGAGAAGATAGGGATGAATCCCTATCTTCCCTAATTATCCAGCTGGATAATTTTTTTGATCCAACTCACCACAAATACTAATGACAATGCAGGAGATGGCATGGTGCACATGGAACATGTAAAATGCTAGGTCAATTTATACCAAAGAGAGAGCTGCACTCAGTAAAAAAAAAAACCCAAAAGGGGCAGCCAGACATTATTTCTGTTCTTCTGTTCCAGGAACAACAGTGAAACCTCAACACGCAGTGCAGTATTTCATATGCAATATTCTCTATTAGGGCTGTGCATTCCTAGAGCTAATGGGCAAATACCTACACCAGGCTTAAATAGAAATGTTGAAGTTCTCACTGGCAGTTAGGGACAGCTTAGTCTGGAGAGCATGCTCATTTAGCATGTAAACCTGAAAATAATATGAAAGATTAATAGCTGTAAGTAGAAATCTCACATATTTCCAATTGTTCACACTCTGCTTGTGATCTCACCACTACAAACTACTTGTACAGAGCTGCAAAGAAGTTAATATTTTTATTTACCTTTTTTAATTAGGAAGTTATTTTTCATATGAAAAAGCCCACAGGTTTATAAATACCCTTTTAAAGGATCATAGCAATTTTGTCACAAAAAGCAGCAGCAGCATTTGTGATGGTCATTTGCTTATATGTCCTCTACTTCTCAAATAAGTCTGCCAGAGTGACCAAGTTTACTCATGTAAAGTCTTACAGACAAAAAAGAAGTTCCCATTCTTTTTGCATCCAGAAACACACTCCAATTTCACTTTACAGGCAAGATATTCCAAGTTATTAAACTGACATTAAGGCCCCCAGCTGTTCACTACAGAATTTGGAGTTGCTCATATGTGAAGGATTTTGATAAAGCCCTTTCTGTTGAAAGTACAGTTGAACATTTCCAGAACTGCTGGTAAGACTGCACAATTATTCTGCTATCAAATCTGAAGTAATTTTTGGTTTTCCTAGCCAATGCTTAGCTCTTCCTTAACAAGAACTTTCCACGATGACAGTTTATCAGATGATGTATCAATGGAAACACATGGCACAGCTCAGAACCCAGTCCCCAAACACGGTGTAACAAGACTTCTGACATAGAGCACCCACTGAAACACACCTGAAAGACCAAAAGAGCTACTTTGTCCTTACCCTCAAATCATAATGTCAATCCACACACACTCACATCATTCTTTTAGGGGGCAGGGAGGAAAACTTGCCTTCAAGTCCATTAGGCCAATTAATTACTTTGTTCTGGAGAAAACCATTTTCCATAATGCAGCTCAGTGGAATTCTAACCAATCATGATGGTAAAAAAAAAGCCACAATGAAATCTTAATATTTGCTAGTCATAAAATACATACCAAACATGTGATAAGGGAGACATTCAGACAGCTAGAAGCTTTTTAAAACAAGAGCTCTCACACTAAAAACTGGAATCTGAGTTCAAAGCTGCTGCAAAAAGTCCTTTTCCCCTTCCTTCCACGGGTTTTGGAGAGCCACTAGTAAGCTGTACACAAAGCAAATCTTCCATCTTACTTTCAAGAAACTTCGCAATAGTTTTCCCTTCTCCTCGAGAAATAAAATCACAGAGGATAGTAATTAGATTCTTGTCCCAAAGCAGTTTGGGTGTTTTAATCCTCTAAATATGTAAGTTAAACATATCCATTCCGTATATATTCGGGAGGGAGAAGTTTTACCCGCAAAATTCTTGATTGTCACACACATTATGTTACTCCTTAAATGCCAGGAGGTAGATTTCCCTAAAGTAACACACACTGTCAGCAACAGAAGCATTGAAGCCATGGCTATGAACCACTTTAAAGCAGGTGTATACAAAGTACCAATGAACCTTCAGCACAATGGCAACACTTCCAATTTCACTCAGTTTCTTCTTCAAATCTTTGTTCACAGTTATTGAGACCCTGCAAAAAATGCCTCGATTATAACTGGTAAGAACTTTCAGTTGAAAAGTATGCAGAGTAAGGGGCGCCCTCAACTCAAGCAGTCAACCACTTCCATTTCCAGGGTCCTAATCACTAATATGCAGTTCAGAGAGTGGAGTGGAAAAGAAATGCTGTGAAGTAAAATCCCAATGGCATTCATACAGCTCAACATTAAGTTATGTGGACTCTGTTAAAAACTCATTGTTAAACTTCCCGTGTCAGTCAAATCCACTTCTACTGTTAACACCAGAAGGAACAAAATGTGCACTTTTCTCCCTACAAATTTAAATTTACACTATTAACTATTGTTAATAATGTAAATATTTCAGTATAGTCAAATAATAGAAGAAAGCAAAAATCCACAATGTTTGCAAACCAGTTCCTTATCTTGTACACACCAGAAGTCTCAGTGCACTGATTTCACAACTCCTAGGCACCACAAACCAGGTTGAGAATGGTGTTTTTTCACATCCAGGAGACCCTTAATTAAGCAATGTAAAATCTTTACAAGTTCTGCAGCCTCATGGATAACAAAGTAGTAAGATGTTACCCGCTAGGCAGATATTACTCTAAAAAGCTCCTTTTAAGGCAGGAAAAGTACAAGAAATTTCACACAAGAGATTTCTAGTTCACTGCTATTCATTGAAGTTACAGCTCAGTGACAGTGTAGGAAATCACTAACTACACTCAGTGCACGGAGAAAACAACATCCCACATTAAATGAGAGGTAAACGAATTACCCATCTGTCATTAAGAGCAGCATCTTCAGCTTTCTTTTCTTTACACCGTGCTTTCCATTACAGTGCCGAGCGTTAATAAAACGTCTGAATTAGAAATCGGATGTGAAGACCATGGTAATTCGCTGCAGCAGCAGCAGCAGCCGCCTCAGCCTGGGCACACGGCTGCTGCTCCGCTCCCTCGCCAGGTGCCGGAGGAGCCCGGGCAGGCCGGCCGCCCTGCCAGGGCCGTGAGCAGCGCGTCCGACAGAGCCCCTGCGGACACACAGACACGCTGCGCTCCCAGCGCTGACCTCCCGCAGCCCCTGAGCTGGCACAACAAACAAACGCGCTCCGCGGCCAGAGCAGCGCGGACAGCCCCTCCTGCGGGGCGGCCGGGTCCCGCGGCGCGGGGGCACGGCAGAGCCCGCAGGGAGCGCGGCGCCGCCGCCCCCCGCCCGGCCGCGCCCGCCGCCGCTCACCCAGCTTGCCGCGGGACTCCTCCAGCTTCTGGATCTGGTTCTCCAGGAACAGCACGGCCACCCCGAAGACCAGCACCGCCAGCAGCTGCAACTTGGGCGGCAGCATAATCCTGAGCAGCCCCATGAGCAGCAGCAGCAGCGCCGCCCGCCCGGGATCACGACATAACGCGGGGCCCGGCCCGCGGGGGCCGGCGGGAGCCGCGGGGACGGCGCGGGCGAGGAGGGACGGAGGGAGCCCCGCCCCGCGCCCCCGCCATTGGGCGGTGCTGCCGCGGCCCCGCCCCTCGCGCGGAACGATTGGCCCGGCGCGGGAATCGCTCCGCCTCCCCCGCCGCGCTGAGCCGCCGGAGCGGGGCCATGTCCCGCCTACATGCGTCCCTTCCTGATTGGAGGCGCTGCCTGAAGTCCCGCCCAACCTCCTTGGGCTCAGGCACCGCTACCCGTGAGGAAGGCGCAATGCTATTGGTCGGGCCGGCTGTCAGTCACCGGGCTGGGGGCCGATGTGCCGGTTGGCAGTTCCCGAGCAAGGGGAATGGGCTTTATTCGGGGTTGTTTCCGCAATGCCGGAACAGCGTTGGGGAACAGGAGTTCCTCCAGCCCCGCTGCGAAGCACTGCACTGAACAGACTAGAATGTCTTTGCTCTAGAATTCCAGTAGATATTCTGGGTTAGCAGTTTCTGCTTGCACTGCCGGGGCTGGGAGCAAGTCTCTGCTCTCCCGCATCAGGCGGTGTGTCGGTCACCCGCCACGGTGAGGTCCTTCCGCGGCCCCCGGCGGCGCCGGCAGGGGCGCTCCGGCACCAAGATGGCGGTGGCGGCCGAGCTGGGCGCGCTGGGGCGGCGCTGGCTCTGCTGGCTCCTGGGGCTGCAGGCGGTGAGAGCCGGACCGGCGCCTTCGCGCCCGGGGCTGAGCGCGGCTGCACTTCCTGAGAGAGGGAGCGGGTGTGAGGGCGGGGAAGGCGGCGTAAGACGTGTCCCGGGGCGGGAGGCGCGGGCGTCTCCTCCCGCTCCTGCGGCCGTGGCCGCCTCGTTTGCTTTCCATGTCGGAGATTGGTCTCTACTTCTGCCTTCTTTCCTAAACAGTTTATATTGCTGCTGCCTTTTTTTTTCTTTTTTTTTTTTTGCGCGGCTGCACTTCCTGAGAGAGGGAGCGGGTGTGAGGGCGGGGAAGGCGGCGTAAGACGTGTCCCGGGGCGGGAGGCGCGGGCGTCTCCTCCCGCTCCTGCGGCCGTGGCCGCCTCGTTTGCTTTCCATGTCGGAGATTGGTCTCTACTTCTGCCTTCTTTCCTAAAGAGTTTATATTGCTGCTGCCTTTTTTTTTTTTTTTTTTTTTTTTTTAGTAGAGTAAATTATCTTGTGTGAAAGCAAAGCAGTGTAGCGTGTATTTGGAGCCAGAGCTGTTAAGGAGAAAACACTGATGAAATGAGGCCCATCACTTACTAAGTGTCTGAAGTTGTCTTGTTCTGATGAGAATTTGCTTTCTGGAGTCTGAGAGGTTTTTTTCCAGTCCCAATCAGAGACATTTATTGTGATTAGTGGTTCATTGTTTCAGGAAAACGTGATAGTTAAGGTACTAAAAATTGAGTGAAAATATTCGGGATAGAGACTTTCTTATCTATATTTTTTCCTTTATCTCTCTGTACTTTTATTCTCAAGGTGTTTTGAGCTTGCTCTGTAACCAAAACCGCCTGAGTGAGGAATTATCATGCAGTGGAGCCTTTGCTGGCTTTCATACACTGTTAGTGTTGGTTGGTTCCTTCTCACACACACACAACCCAAAATAAATCCCCAGAAGAGCACTGGCCTTGCACTCCTACTTTTATTCTCAAGGTGTTTTGAGCTTGCTCTGTAACCAAAACCGCCTGAGTGAGGAATTATCATGCAGTGGAGCCTTTGCTGGCTTTCATACACTGTTAGTGTGTTGGTTGGTTCCTTCTCACACACACAACCCAAAATAAATCCCCAGGAGAGCACTGGCCTTGCACTCCCGGATGGTTCAGGGATCTGTGGCCAGGGTGTCAGGAGAGTGAAAAGATGACAGTGGAGCATCCGAGGGGTGGATGGCAAGCAGCAAGGTGCAAGAACATGGTTTTAGTTACTACCATCATTGAATCATTGATTTAATAAATGAGCCCCAATTAAAATGTAGCTTTAGCAGAGTTTGGGATGCTCCTTGGGGGCTTTTTATACCATTGTGTCATTGTTGTATTTCCTATTGCCAGTATTCCTCAGAGAAGATAAATACTTGAAAAGGGTAAATACTAAATACTTTGAGAACTAAATACCTTAGTAAATATCCTTAAAAGGATAAAAAAGGCTGAATTATTCCAGGAGAACAGGGTTCCAGTTTTGCTTGCCTCAGTGCCCTGTAGGAAGAAGAAAAATAGATTTCTGCCTGATAAAATAGTGATTTCACAGCAGCTTTTTTGTGTACTATACTTCTCTGTTCATGCTCTAACTCTTACTTTTTAGCAGATACAGAGAAATAGAACAATGAGGCACCTAATGTATTTTCTCCCAATCCTCAGTCCATGATGTTTTCTGTCACAAAAGTGACATGTCTTTCCTTCAGCTGCAGGTTGGCCACTTCAGCAGAGGAAATGGGTTTTGTCTCTGCCTGACTTGGGTGTGCTGCATGGGTTAGGTGGCATGTGAATGTGAGGAGAGGTTTTGCTGAATGACAAACTGAGTTTTTCTTGTGTAGTTCTCTGGCCCAGCACAGCTCTTCTGAGTCCTGGCCTGGTTCCATCCACTCGAGTTTGCTGGTGCTGTCACTCAGCTCTGAGCACAGTGCTGAGAGCTTGGGCTGTAGGAGGTTTTGCCTGGGGTTTTTTACCCAGACTGAAAAGCAGCTGGGGAAGCCACCTTCTATCTCTCCTTTCTTCATTTCCTCTCTCACTTTTTCCCCTCCAAAGCAGGCAGCTGGAAGGGAAGGTTTTAGCCAAGGTGTGAGATATCCATGTGTAGAAAAGTGGGAATGTGAATTTGCTCCAAGAAAGACACTGAGAGGCTGAGCCCAGAGAAGGTCAGTGGAGCTGGGGAAAGGTCTGGAGCACAGGTTCTGTGAGGAGCAGCTGAGGAAGCTCATTCAGGAGAAAAGGAGGCTCAGGGGAGCTCATCAGTCTCTACAACTGCCTGAAAGGAGAGCAGAGCTAGGTGGGGGTCAGCCTTTTCTGCCAAGGAGCAAGTGATGGGACAAGAGGAAATGGCTTCAGCTTGCACAAGGGGAGGTTTAGATAGGATATTAGGAATAATTTCTTCACTGAAAAGGTGGTCAGGAATGGGCTGCCCAGGGAAGTGGTGGAATCACCATCCCTGGGAGTGTTCAAAAGGCACAGGGATGTGGCACTTGGGACAAGGTTTGGGGCTGATCACTGCAGTGCTGAGTTAATGATTGGACTCAGTGATGATCTCAGAGGACTTTTCCAACCTTAGTGATTCTATGAGAACAAAACCCAAATATCAGTTAAGTGTTGTGATTGGTTGCATTATTTTGCTGCCCATAAAAAGCAGAGCTGGTGTTTTACATAGAAGCCATGTAATTGAATGGCCTGTTGTAAAGTGTTGCTGATAAATCAGAATTGCAGGGTTTTATCTGCACTTCCAATTAATAGTATGTGCAATTTTCCTGTAACATCAATGCAAACATGAAATTAAAATCCTACCTGTATGTCTTGTTGAGCTCTTTGGTTAATTTCATCACTTTCTGGTTGTTTTTCCTGAGCTTAGCTGTTGCATTACTTTCCATGAGTGTTTTCAGTGATCCAAAACTTTCTGGAACTCTCTTTCAAGAGGAGGCTTTGGAAGGCTGTAACCATGTGCATTTCAGCTGATTCATTACCCTTGGGTTTCCTTCTTAACTTGAATTTAGCAATAGGAAAGCAGTAGAGCTATCAGAAGTGTATATAAATTAATTTTGGCAGGTCTGATACCTTGAAATGTACATGTGACGAGTGTCTGGAATTCCCTGGTAGGTTAAGACCCTCCTCAGCAGGGTGATGTTTTGAACCCTTGGGCTGACCATTTAGGCATTACTGTAAACCAGTCACAAGAGACTAACTTGTTCTTTCTAATCATTACAGCATTTAAAGCCATCTTTTAAAAAATTAATACTAAGTGTAACATTGTATTGACTTTCAGGTGAGTGTTTATGGAGCACAGTTGTCATCAGAAGCTTGCAGAGAGCTGGGATTCTCCAGTAACTTGCTGTGCAGTTCTTGCAACCTTCTTGGGCAGTTCAATCTGAATCAGCTGGATCCCTTCTGCAGGGAGTGCTGCCAAGAAGAAGCTCAGCTGGAAACCAGGAAGGTGAGTTTTACACCAAATCCCTTGTGGAATAATTTAACATGTCATGTTTGTGAAACTTTTCATTTTAAAAAAATGCATGAGAATCTGGGTTATCATCTCAAGAGGAAAATGCAGCAGTTATTCCTAGCCCAATGTACATCTCCAGGGTCTAGGTTTGCAGAGTTGCCACACTGCTGTGAAATAATGTCCCTGTACCAACAGGGGAGTCTTTGGTTCTTTGGCAGCCCTTCTCTGGTGTTGTGTGGCCATATTTGGGAACTATTTCCAGCTTCTTTCAAAAGGAAGATCCATGGGATTGGAAGAGGGCAGAAGAGGAGGATAAGGAGAGTGGTGCTTGATGACAGCTCCTTGGTCACTGGCCTGTAGCACACTGGCCAGGAGAGCTGAGTTCAGTCCTGGGCAGCCAGAGGTGCTGCAGCCTCCAGGGCAGCTCCTGGAGTGGCAAACCTGGTGGAAGCAGGACTGCCCTGTTCCATCCTGCAGCAGGGAGACTGCTGGCATCTCTCTAAGAGCTCACACTGTGCTTTGAGCTGTTTAAGGCAAAACATTTCCTTTATCTGCAGTAAATAAATATCTGTGTTCCTTAAGGTATGTTATCAATGAAGAATTTTTAGAGTTCTTGAAAAGAATGCATGTTTTCTAATATGTGTCAATTTAAGTGTTCCAGAATGTAGCAAAGACAAATTAATCATCAAGAAAGTAGAGGTTTCAAGGATGAGAGGTGCTGAAATTATTTTTAATGGCTAGGAGATAGTGAAATAACTGGCATAATGAAATTAATGAGGAAATCTAGCAGGTTTTTCCTGTCAATTAAATTCAGCCTAATATTTAAAAAAGAAAGTCTGCCTTTAATTTTTAATAAAACCACTGATTACAGTGTTAGGTACAATATATTAAGTATCAAGTAGCATATGTTTGAGATTGGCAGAGAATTCATATTTTAATTAGTAGCTTCCTAATATTGACAGACTTTAAGTTG